CACACACACACACATATATATATATATATACACACACACACACACATATATATATATATATATGTATGTATGTACGTATGTATGTATACAATTTTTCTAATAAATTGTATTACATCAAAAGCGTACAGGCGATCACTCAGCACTGTATAACCCGGACAAAATTATAATATAACCTACAATTTATTTATTGTACATGTAGATATACATGCCAACAAGGTTCTAATATAACAATGTAAAAATTATACCGTTTGTACAAAAGGTATCATTTTTAAAGTGAAAATGTCTGCGGTTATAGCTCCCAAAAGCATTGGGGATATTCCGTCTATCAGACATAATCAAAACAACAGATGCAGAGCTAGTCAGCATGTAACCGAAAATTTTCACTTTAAAATGATACATTTATACTTTTGTATAAATGGTATAATATTACATTATTATATTAGAACTTTGTTGGCACATTCACTTACTTGTTGGCACATATATCTACATGTACAATAAATAAATTGTAGATTATACATTATATATATATATATACACAGACACACACAAACATTAAAAATAAAAAGGAGATCAGAGAGTTAGGCCATGCACATGTTAGACATGCTAAAGTATCATTATTGGTCTTGAGGTTCGTTCATCAATTTAAATAAAACCTACTATAACAAGGTGCTAAATTAAACCACATTAAACATATTTTGCCTAAAAGAACGTGCATTTATCATAATCCCCTACTCCTTTTACCCATATACCCTCAAGTATATTTTGGAAAAGGTGTATGAATCTTAATGACACCCCACCACTGTTGGGAAAACTTATTACTCACCAACAAATGCTATACCTAACCTTTGCAGTTCTTCTTTCAGTTTCTGTTCAAACTCTAAACCAACAGCACTGGAAAAATTAAACATATACAATTTTAGTATATTTCTGTATACATTTAACAACTTCTGAGGAAACCCAATATGCAATTGAAACTAAAGTCCACTGAAGCTTTCAACTTTCACAAATACTTAATGGATATAAAACTCAAAGTTTAGAAGGGGGGGTTCTGAGACTTTCAGCCAGCAAGTGCTAGCAGAAAAATATGTTCATACCCTAACCATCTTCCTCTCACATAACCTTTAGTAAAGATTTTGAGATTATTAAATACTAACAATCAAAGCATTTTACTGTTATCTGGTCTTGTTGAAGTCTTATAATAATAAGTTCATAACCTTACTACTGACCCACCCATAATGCTTATCAACTGATACATACTTTCTACTCTTTTTTTGAAAGTCAACCATATTGTCTTGTTCTTCTTCACTTTATTAATACACCCTTTCAACCCTATTGACAGTTATAATATTGTTTGGAGCTTCACTTTAGTGGAAAAATAATTAACTGTTTCAAGATAGTAATGCTTCTGTTGTCAGTAAACTGTCTTTACAAGATCCTAAGTTAGTTCTTTCTTCCACGTCTCCTCTCAGCTCTTCACACGGCTTGTGAATTCGTCATTAGGAAAATTAACTGTTAAACTTTCGCTCATGTAAGCATTTAATTCTTAAAAGCCTCGGCCACTTAATTCTAATTATGTAGTGGGGTGAAGAGAAACAGTAGTTTCTGACTGCCCCTAGTTATATATTACCTAAATTCCTACCATGCTAGACTGGATTGGATTGGATGCAGATGTTGGATTGGCTCATATAAATACGAACTAAGTTTTTGTTTTTACATTTGGATATACAAGCATCTTCGTATGGCAATACATCTAGGTGAAAGTATGTAAGGACGAAGAGTCTATGAGTTAATACATAATTTACAAAACTTTAAGAATGAATATATACAATTAGTATTTTATTTTCATGAGACGAATTCCTTGAATATGGATGGATAACTTATGCATGCCGTTAAATTATATCTTTATTTTATAGATTTATATCAGAGTGGACATTTTTTTAACTCTATGATGTATGAGGTAAGAATGCTACATTGTAAGTGTAATCTGTAATTTTTATAAATCCCTTTTTCTATATTGATTTGTAGCTGTAGTTCTGTACTTACTGTTTTACAGCATCTGCTACTGGTCCATAATTATCGTCATTAATTATACACTAGGTAAAGAAAAGATTAAAGTCAATAAAAAAAATATTCTAATTATTTTAAAGTATGAACTTTATTAGTGAACTTGTAGTAACAGTTTCACTTAAGTTTTTTGTAAAACTAATATTTATAACTTCTTTTATAGAGAAAAGTATACCTTAAAGAGAACATCTATAATATCTTTAATAACTTGTATCAGTTAGACACATAATGTAATCTAACCCTAGAATTATTGATTCAGTCCATTCTGGGTTTTTAAACATATTATTGTGATTTATTTACCAAATTAAGTTGCTTGTGTGTCCATGACTTTGTTGGTTACAGGATCTCTAATAACATACCAGTGAGAATTTAACATATCAATTTAAAACAAGTATACCATCAATATTGTAATTAAACCTACTAATTACTGCTGGAATCCCCAATGTATTTTATATGAAACCCCAATGATTTCCCCTAAATGTTTTATAAGGTTTTACACTAAATGTTATATCATTTTAAAACATAAAATTACACAATGTGATGCAATATGTGGATCCTCCAACCAACAGTAAACAATATAGAAACAAGTCAGTAAGTAGAAAAATAGATATAAAAACAAATGTTAACATTTTCCAACAATTAAAACATATTTCTGACAGAGGACACAATAATGAAAATGAAGATGAGAAATAGAAGGGAGAGATATAGGAGTAGGTGTATTGTCACCCTCCCATCCACAGATATTTTAGGGAGAAAAGTGCAATCAAGAAAAATAATGCATGAAGAATCGATGGCATATACATCAGAATATTGACGACCACAGATGAAAAGGATAAAACAGGTTTTATGTGAAAAATAGTACAAGGAACAGGAAGCCAAAGGTTCAAAAGGTAGGAGAGTAAAGTCATGAAGAATAATATTATGGTTGCAGTTAGGAAGGCCAGATTAAGATGGTGAAAGGAACAGAAAAGCACAGTAAAAACAGGAGAAGAGAAAACCTGACAGTAACGAGAAAACCAGAAAGTACTAGAGAGAGAGAGTCAACTGGTAACCAGCAAAATAGTAGATACTGATAATCCTTGGTCAAAAAGCCACATGAAGAATTCAGAGAGATAGGGAACAGAAGAACAAGAAAAGGAGAAAGAATGATACAGTAACCAATGGCAAAAAAAATGCCACTTCTGCTGATTTACAAGGAGGGAGGATGGGTAAACAAAATGTCAAAGAAGGAGGGCTAGGCTACACGTGAAGAGAGGGAGTGGACAAATTCCACACACGAAGTCGGACAACATGGCTGGATGAAAGAGAGAAAAATAAGGATGAAGAAGAAGAGAGCAGGAGAAAGGAAGACGATGGGAGGACTGTAGAAAGCTCAACAGAAGAAAACATGTTTGAGTTGGCCTATAGGGTGCCTCAAGAAGGAAGAGAACATGGGAGAGGAGACAAATAGGGAGTAAGCATAGAAAAGGTGGATGGACCAGTCCTGAATGAATGCATCCACTGCCGGAGCCATAGGATAAGGAACAGGAGACAAGAAAAGGGAAAGCTTGGCATTGTTGTATAGTGGCAAAGGCATCGATAAGTGTAACACCACTGAAGAATCTGAGAATTAAGGGACCACTTGAGAGGCAACCTGCAAAAAAGATTCAGGGCACCCAGAATATGACAAGCAACCAGTTCAACTTGTAGAGAATGGGCCCAGAAAAGGAGGTTGAGGGTGTGGAAGAAACAGAGAGTGAGACTGAGTGCCCTCCTGGCAACTGACATAGGATACCACAGTATCATTACCATGGATCATTACCAAATGGCCTTGTACAACTGTAAGAAAGTGATCCAAAGCCTGGTGAACTGCCAAAAGTTTCAAGAGATTGATATGAAGGGTCAATTCCTATGAAGACCATTGACCAAAAATCTCTAAATAGTTGAGACAAGCATCCCACCCCATGAAGTAAGCATCTGCAAAGAGATGGAGATCTAGACAAGAGGGAGAAAGAGGAACACTCATGTGGTATTGGTTCAGTCGAACCACCAGGAAAATTGGTGTGTAGGGAAAAAGGAAGATGGATGAGAGAGATAAAGAATTCCAAGAGAGATTCCATTGATTGTGCAGGGTCCATTGCAAAAGATGCACGTGAGCATGAATCAAGTGAATAAATGATTACATGGTAGCCCAAATCCCCAAAACAGAGAGAAGCATGTAGCAAGAAGAGGACAGGATAAAGAAAAACCAATCAATCCATGGCTCTCAAACAAAGCATAGAATACTCTGTGTTGAAGAACACAGCCAAATGAACCAGATAATGAGTGGGTGAGAGATTAAACTTCTTCAGCTTGACTAATTAACCAAAACAAGCTGTCTCCAAAAGGAGAAGAAGAGTACAGTTGTAAAATGCCTGTTGGGATGGAGCTAAAAGAAGCCAATCATTCAAAGAATGTTGGAGTCACAATTCCAAGCTGTGAATGTGACAAGCAAAAGTATGCACTATTCAACCGATGCAAGGCCAAAAGGAAGAGTGCAGAAATGATAAACCTGACCTCAGTGAATAAACTGAAGTTAAAGCCTGGATGCAGAGGAGATGGGAATTTAAAGATAAGAAAAAAAATGTCCACCTTGGCCATCCACAGCCCTGAAGCAAAAGACCACCAAAGGGTGAACAAACCGAGGAAGGTCAAGAAACTGGTTGAAACGTAAAAGATCTATGACCATATGTCAATTCCCCATTTTCTTGGTGATGACAAATAAACATTAATAAAAGTCTTGAAAAAGAATGAGAAATCAATTTGATAGCATACTTGGCCAACATGTCTGACAATGTCTCTGAGAGATGCTGGCAAGATACAGGATCCCTTGCAAGAGAAACATTAATGGAAACAGGAGACAAGATAGGAACTTGCAGTACTCAACATTTGGACACAAACAGAAGCCAAAGATTTGCAAACCAAGCATTACAGGCCTCTAACGTTCCCAAGCATAGAGTATAGTTATTGCCAAGATTGATGCTACTGAAGTCTACAAACAATGAAAGAACAGAAGAGAGCAAAGTAACAGGGAGAGGAGAGGAAGTGTGAGAACAGGATAAGAAATAGGAAGAGAAGGAGCTTAAGAGAGATGGAAAGCAAAAGAGGATACAGAAAACTGTTGCTGCACGGCCTCAACCTTTGACTCCAGGGAGTCAATTATTCCATCAAAAACACCTTAGCAGAGGAAAAGAGCTAGACAAAGGCCCCTGAATAAGAGGGAGGAAAATGCACTACAACAAGAAGGGCATCCCTCCCCAGCAAAAGAGTAACCAAATAGGAAGTGACAAGGCCAAGTAAGATGAATACACCAAATTAGAGATGATAAAGGAATAAGTATCTGCCAAAAACCTCTCAGGGAAATGGAGTATAGCCTTAGAAAGAAGATGAATGAAGGAAAGATAAGTGAGGGTAACACAAATGTGAGAAAATTGGGCTTGAGAAATTTTCACAGAAGACAGAAGTTGTGAGCTCCAAGCCTGAAGCACAGAGTCCAGGGTTTGGGAGTCCAAAAAAAAAGAAAATCAGCCCAATGATAAGCCAAGGCATATGTATCAACCAGGCAAGGAGGAAGAGCCATGCTAGCACCAGAATGAAAAAAAACTATTCAGCATAGACCTGAATATCTAGAGTGAGAGAGGAAAATATAACAATCAGAAGAAGGTGTCAAATACAGAAAGGAAGGCAAAGAATCATATGACACAGAAAACTGAGAAAATAAGTAACAAGCCTGAGAAACCATGTCCAAGGAAGATGGGGGAAGGCCTAAGGAGATTCAAGACAGTACTAGTAAAAATACTGGCAAAGGTAGGTAGGGAGAAAAGACTGTCATAATTTTCATCATCACAAACAGAATTCCCAGGAGAAAGGATATCTTTATCAGGCTCAGAAGGCCCAGGTTTCATGAAATAATCCATCTCCGGTTGCACAATAACTGTCACCTCCTCGAAAGACAAAGAGGAATCCAGCATCATTGTAGTTGTTTGATCAGCATGAATAACGTCTTGCTGTTCCACATCCGGCAAAGTGGAAGTAACATTACCTTGAGAATTCATAATGTGGAAAACAAAAGGACCACAAAATCTACAGGTGCAAAACAACTTTGAAATTTAAATTTCAGAATTAAACTTTCCATAATAATGGTTTTGATGTGTAGATACTTCTGTAAGAAAAAAATACTTATTTCGATAATCCTCATGAGCAAAAAAAAGACTCATCTAAACATGCGAGTGCCAAATCAAGAAGTGATGATTGAACAATCAGTATTGAGGGAAGCCACATCATCCTCCTATTGGTGGAGGGTTGTCACATGCTCACTTGCATGTAACAATGTAGCAATATCATATGGAAAAATGTGAGTTTAGGTGGGAGCCTCAAGGCTAGTAGTGAGCAAAAAAAAATTTGCATATAAAGGGCAGCACTGAATCAAGAAGCTATAATTAAGCAAAGGTTACATATCTTATGAAAAACCAATGTTCAATCCTTGGTGATGCTGTAAGATTTTATAAAACGTGTAAATAAAACAGAATGTGCCGTAAACATAAAGTAGGTACTTTATTTAATGTGACTTTAGCTTAAAAATATGTTTAAACAGGAGATTAAATTAAGCGCGCACTACATTAAATGACACAAGTAACATCTGCATGACTACAAATAAGTTTAAATTATTTGTTGATCAAATGTGTAATTCAAGGACACATTACATTGGATAGTACATTTAACTTCCTACCTGAAAAACTTCCACAGCTAAGTCCCCATCTTCAATCAAGCTTGTATCCCTCATCATCTGGGTAATGACGTGCTTAACAGCTTTAAAAAAACATTTTATTGTCAAAAGTCTCACAATACTGAGAGATACCATTAACAGAAATTTAAATTGTCTTCCAAAGAAATATAAGAACCAACAGTCATCTATTTAAATTCAACTTATATTTTTAGTTTTTTTCACATATTTTCTAATGTAAAATTTAAATATTTTAAAAACATCAAACAGTAAGTTTATTTGATTATTTTTTATGTAGAATTATTAACTGGAAACAAGATAGCAAGTTCTCATACATTAATAATTAATTTAATACAAGCCTATCATCAATGTGGACTAAACTTAGTTTACTATAAAACTGCATAGGAAATTATGCATAGTGGTTGTTGAAAGTGATAAAAAAAAGAAGTATGTTGTAGGTTAAACCGCCAAGGAGTTAACTACAGATATATATATATATTTGTAGTTAACTCCTTCATGGTTTGACGTACAACATACTTCTTTTTACACTTAGTTTACTGTACATTTAATGCAAAACAAAAACTTCCTCACAAAGAAATGTTTTAAAAACTACTTGCAACTTGCAGAAAATCTCTTGCATACTGAAAAGAGCTTCATACTCAAAAAATAACCTTATGAAAAGTAGTTTCAAGTCATATACTCATTTGACTAAATTTTTTTAAAATCAATATGGAAAACAGCATTAACTTTTTGAAACTTACAGATTTCTTGTGTAAACTTAGAATTTAAGTATAGAAACAGTTTTGTGTCCAAAAATTATCCCATTAGTGTTCCATGTCTGATCATATAAACACTTATCTTTGTTTTCTAAACAGACTGTGATATGCAGACATACCATATATTTTCTATATGCTTTAATGATAGAGATTTTTCCATTTTTTCAGCCATTTAGTTTCCATGCTATAATGGTGGCAACACATAGTCCACAAAGTCAGTGATGTTGCCTTGTTCTGGTTGCTTTGTTCTTTACAATGTCTATTCTGCCCAAGATAATATTGCAGTGACATTTAGCATCAAGGTTAAAAGGACTATTGCTGTAATATCCTTTACTGGCTGAGTTGACATTATCTCAATGATACAGCCAACCAGTGTCATGAAAGAACAAATGTAACAAGGTGACATTGTTGACTAGACAAAGAAAACATGTTTACCCATTGAATTCAGATGCACTTTCTAGGGCCAGTTCTACAAGGAGATTGCTGAAAGAATATTGTACTCAGAAATCATCATTTCATGTTTTGTTCTATAGAAATAAATCCTGAAAGAGTGACTGCTGTAGGATTAAATATTGCTTATTAAGAGCAACTGACTTTTTGTGTGCGCAAGTACATATGCTGTATTTTCTGTTTTTTTATTCAGATTGTGCTCATTTTTACCAGTTTTACCCAGTCTCGTTATTTTACATACACTAGGAATACACAGTTAAAATTATCCCATTCAGAATTACTTTTTGTTTCTTGACTGATTCTGCTGTAATTATTGGTATTATGTATATGATACTTGTCAAGAAATTAGTTTTAGAAATACCAAAAATCATTAAATTTTATTCTTTTATAAAATAAAACAGGCATATTTAAACAATAAGAACAACGTTACAATGTTATTGATTATACATGCAGTGATGAAAAGTTTGTATAAAAAAGACCTTCAGTAAATTAACCAAAGAACCACAAGAACAACACACCTTAAAAACACAGATTTATCGTTAGGTGGAGAAAGTACAAGACAATAAAACCAAAAAGCTGATGAGTCCAGGACAAATAACCAAAACATAGTATATAAAAAAGTGGCAAAATACTTTTGAGTCATTATACACATATACAAAAAATTCACAGGATGACAATTACAAAATAAGATAAATATACATTTCCCTAGCTCTTGTAGAAGTTTAATCTCTTTCCTTTGCTTTTTCTTGTACTATGTAAACACTAATTTACTTATTCTTCCATAGAGTGTACTTCTTATTAACAAAATTCACAATTTTCCAAAGATCTGATTCCAGAACTCTCTAAATATGATTGGGATGATGAGAAAAATAACAGTCTGAGGTGTTACTTTTTTGTAGCTTGACCAGTCAAGAGAAATTTAAACATGTCTAATCAGCACAATGCTAACGAGAGGAATGACATTACTACAAGTGCAAGTACATAGAGGGACCTATTGCACATGAATGTTGTATTGCCTTTCTACAGGAGGAGGGCTTTTGTTTCATGGTGATGTCACCATACACTAGTGCAGTTCACATTAAACACACAAAATTAAGTGGTAGCTGCCTCAAGGCTAGTGAAATGCAAATCTCTTAGGCAGACACATGAGGAAGACAGCTAAAGTGTAAGAAGAGGTAAGTTATCTCAGAATATTCAAATCTCTTTTTAAACAGGAGTAGTTTGTAACATTATTGCTCTAAACCACGAATACCACAAAGTGACAAGACAGAAGTAACATAATATATGAGAAATGGTAAATGATGCTAACAGAATGGTTGATGAAATATGGATTTAGGTTTTGGTGTTAATTCCAGGTGTAATATTAGCTTGGAATGAATAGATCAATGATGCATATCATTTTAAAAGCATTCTTGAAGAAAAGTAATTTTCCAAATTGTAAAAGGTTATTATTAAGTAAATTAAAATGCTCACCAATCAGTTGTTTATAAAAGACATCTCATAAGACTTTCTTTCCTTTTATATTTTTTACAATTTTCAAGAAGACTAAGCAAGTAATACTCACGGGCTTCTCCTCCATCAGGTTTTTGGGTGGAATGCTGTTCTAGAATAAGCCTTGCAAGAAGTGCAGGTGAAAGATCAATCTAGAAATAGTTATTAAATAAGAATGTAAAACAAAGTTAATGGACACAAAAACCTCCAAATAATACAAGTAGTACATTCATAATTAATGGCCAGTTATATGATATTATAAGTAGTACAGTCATAATTAATGGCCAATTATATGATATTACAAGTAGTACAGTCATAATTAATGGCCAATTATATGATATTTCAAGTAGTACAGTCATAATTAATGGCCAATTATATGATAATACAAGTAGTACAGTCATAATTAATGGCCAATTATATGATAATACAAGTAGTGCAGTTATAATTAATGACCAATTATATGATAATACAAGTAGTGCAGTTATAATTAATGACCAATTATATGATAATATAATTAATGGCCAACTATATGATATTCAAAGTTTTGATATACTCTTCTATTTGCATCATGTAATTTTACAAACTTTGACCTCTTATATCTGGAGATGTGAAAGATAATCCATATTTCACTGGCACTAGTGTATAACTTTGCTCTGATTACAATGGAAAAAATTAGAGTATTTATTTCAATCAATAATTTAGCAGAAATTAACATTTTCCTTCCAAGAAAATGTATTTCAGAGAGATACCTACCTCTCTGTACCACTAAATGATATACCTGTTTCTATATCATAACTCTAATTGTTCCAAAACTTTCAGTTCAATAATAAAACTCTGTCTTTACAACTCTAGAGGTTATAATTGTATCAAAACTTTAATATGAAATGAGATACAAACCATGAACCCTCAACTTCACAGTACAAACATGCTAACCTCTAAGCTATGTCTGGCCCTAAAAGTTAATAGACAGCTAAATACTTTTCATCATAATAAAAAGTTTTCCAAGTCTGACAAAGGCATAAATAATTCACAATCTTAAAGTTTAGAATAAATCAGAACATTTTTATTGCCTTGGTTATGTAATGAATCGCATGCTCATGCTATAAAATTTTGTTGCACACTAAAATATGTGTACATCAGAATGCAATATGAATAGAGTAACATATTAAAGTTCTGAATCACAAGCTAACTTACTTCATCTGCCATTCTTAAAAGAAATCCTGGAGCATCTTTTCTTTTCACAGCTTTTAAATATCTGAAACAAAAAAAATGGATATATTTCATGTGTTATAATAGATTTGCTTTTAATTATACTGTTTGGTAGAGAAAAAAACACCCTTTTCACAGTTCTTATTTCTCTGTTCTGAGATAGTACACAAGCTTTCCCAACAGGAAGACCCAGTGTCAAACCCTGGCCTCTTCCATCACAAACACTCCTTCTCAGAACTTCTGTGAAAACACCATTAACCAAAATGCAGGATATGAGCTGATCAGTAGTTAGCACCTAGTATAATAACAATAAACTACTAACAATAGTGAGACATGTACAGGCTATTAATCATGACAATAATTTACATCTCATCACAACCTTAAGTCAGTGCTAGTTTTAGGCTCTGTTATTGGAAAATTATAGGTTACGAACCTAATACAGATTTGTATAGACATTGAAAATATATAATAATGGTGGTCTTCTGGAATACCCATATCAAATCCTGATCACAATAACAACTTACAATTAAATGTATGTAATTACAGAAAAAAACATGCACAAATGTGGTATGAGTCAAGTTAGCTCTCTTTTACTTTAAATTCCATTCTTTCCCAAATACACAAGTTTTTCTTAATAACACAGGTGAAAGAACACAATTTTCCTTCTACTTATCTGCATTTTAATGTTTTCCAACACTGAAAAAAGTATTTATGTTAGATACATCCTCTCACATACTGCTTTCCCCAATTCATTGCTACCCTCTATATGCACATCTTTTTGCTTGCCACTAGCCTTGAGGATCCCACCTGAACTTGTGTTTCCACTTGATATTGCTGCATTCTTGCATGCAAATGAGCATGTAACAACCCTCAACCAATCGGAGTGTGACATATTATCCTAGTGCAGTTGACTCCCTCTATACTGACTGTACAATAATCACTTTGAGATTAGACAAGAAAAGATGATGCACTAAAAGTGGTGAGGAAGGATGGGAAGTGTGAGAGGAGGAGAGTATCTATTGGAAATACATTCTCAGTGTTGGAACATATGAACTAAATGGCTAAATGATAGAAAATGTAGGACAAAGGTGTGAAGGGTTGTCCACATGTCAGCCTGAACAATCTCCTCTAATGGATGACAGAAGTGAGAAGCCAAACAGTTGATACTGATAATCCCTGGTCAAAGATCCAATGAAGAATTCAGAGAGATGGGAAACAGAAGGACAAGAAGGGAAAAAGAACAACGAAGTGATGAACTGTGAAAAATACACTACTTCTGCTGATATACCAGGAGGGAGGATAGGCCAAAAAAAAAGGGAAAGATGCAAAGAAAGTCCACAATGTTTTAAGACTTAAGGGACTAGACAAATCCCATACATGAAGTCAGAGTGACAGTATAGCTGAAATTCAGGGCACAGAGAAAAGAATAAGGCTGAAGAAAAAGAGAGCAGGAAAGAGGAAAAGTAAGAGGAGGAAGAGAGTACTGTTGAAGGCTCAACAGAAGAAACCATGTTTGAGCTGACCAATAGGGTGCCACGAAAAAGGACCCGACATGGAGAGTCCCAAATGAGGGAGAAACATGAAGGAGGAGACAAATAGAAGGTAAGCAAAGACAAAGAGGATGGACCAGTTCTGAATGAATGCATCCAGTTCCAGAGCCAATGGATGAAGAACAGAAGACCAGCACAGGAGGTAAGTATTATTGGAAATACATTTTGGATTTTTAAGGTGGAGGGGCCAGTGAGAGCATTATCCATACAAAATGCATCTGCATATATCATGGGCTTGTCAATAAAGATTAGCACCCTAGTAGGGAAACCACACTATATCCAGAACAGGTATGCTCTTCACCTGAAACCTAATTCCTGAACTACAGGTGGAATTTGACATGATTGGTCATCACTACTGTCCAGGCCACAACTAGGTAGCCAAGGTTCCACTCCTCAGGGTTGGTGGCTAGGGAATTTAGACCACAATACATATAGTTGTGAATGGATCCCAACCTGTAGCTATAGAGTGATGCATTCCGAACCATCGGAATCAGAACAAGAAGGTGGATAAGCCCTCTCCTCAACCTGAAGAAGTCTGAAAGGCAACACCCCAAGCTCAGAATGACAGGATCCTGTATGCCATACTCAATCTGAGAAAACAAAACTTGTCTGGTCTGGAATTATGAACACTCATCTTCACTCCCCAACTGTGTGGGTAAGGTAAATTCCACTTGTCCCCAGAATTATAGGGAAGATTTGGAGCAAACTGTGCTCAACCAAGGATCCAGGATGGGACCACTCTGCATTTGGAATTATGAAGAGACAATGGATCCTCTTCCATGAACAATGTACTGAAGTAATATTGATAAAAAAGAATGGATACTTTAACATTAATAACATGGATAATTGAAAGTTTTGTGGCAGCATTTTACTTATTTGGTGAACTTTCAAATTCTTATCACTCATACAGCATTTAGTGTGTGATTAATATGTTCAGTTTAGTTAACATAGAAATTTATGACATTTAAAGTTGCTAAATCTACTTTGTTTTGTGTATGTACAGGTATGCCTAATTTCTTTAAGATAATCCTTTAACTTACATTTTTTCAACAAGATGTGATAATTATTTTCAAACACTACTGGAATCGGTCCTTTGCTTATTTACATTAATGATACTGGTAGGAGCAAAATTTTTTGTTTGGAAGTAAGCACAAAGCTACATAATGGGCTATCTGTGCTCTGCCCACCATGAATATCGAAACCCGGTTTCTATCGTTGTAAGTCCGCAGACATACCGCTGTGTCACTGGGGGGCTAGGAGCAAAATCAGAAAATTAGTTCAGCTTGCTAATGAATTATGCTCTTTGGTATTTCTAGCTGTACTAAAAATGTTCAAGTACTACAGAATGACTTGGAGGACGAATTGGTAAATTGGACAAATACTTGGCAAAAGAACTTTAACTATAGAAAGTGAAAAGTAATGCAGTTAGGTTATCATAATTTGGATCACATGTTTAATATATATGGAAGATCACCAACTGTGCAATCACTATGTATGTTCTTCTTACAGTATACGTGTAATACTTAGAAGATTACCAACTATGTAATCAGTGTGTCTTGTTCTTCTTATAGTACATGTGTAACACTGAAGATCTCCAACTGTGTAAACATTGTATCTCATTCTTCTTATACTACATGTGTAACACCGAAGATCCCCAACTGTGTAATCATTGTATCTCGTTTTTCTTACAGTACATGTGTAACACTAAAGACCCCAACTGTGTAATCATTGTATCTCATTCTTCTTATAGTATGTGTAACACTGAAGATCCCCAACTGTGTAATCATTGTACCTCATTCTTCTTATAGTATATGTGTAACACTGAAGATCCCCAACTGTATAATCATTGTATCTCATTCTTCTTATGATGTGTAACACTGAAAATCCCCAACTGTATAATCATTGTATCTCATTCTTCTTATAGTATGTAACACTGAAAATCCCCAACTGTATAATCATTGTATCTCATTCTTCTTATGATATGTGTAACACTGAAGATCCCCAACTGTATAATCATTGTATCTCATTCTTCTTATGATATGTGTAACACTGAAGATCCCCAACTGTAT